GACAACGGGGGGGGGGGGGGGGGGGGGGCGCCCGCTTGATGGAAGTCGGGATTAAAGCCGCACACTGCTGTGTACCGGAGGTTTTCTGGCAATGATCAACCCGTTGTCACACGCCTCTCATGTAGAACGTGGGTGATATTCTCCTCTGACCTGTATTGAGTACGAAAGCAGAAAAGCAAGAGCTGAAACGCCGGGTGTTTCGTAAGCCACGCCCCCGTTCTCTGGTACCACGACACAAAGACCACCGACGAAAACAGCGCACAGCACGCGACAGCAGTCACACGCTCACCATCAACCTTCCAAAGGTCTCCGGGATCCGGTTGATCAAATACATATAAACACCAAGTACTGACCGGCAAGCTTTGAAGCTTGTCGAGACAAACCACAACAGTTTTTTGGCTCTGTCTTCGCCAAGCGAACGAGTACCGCCGATCAAACGAACACTGTCGCGCAAAAGCGCTCAAGAGGCGATGTCGGCAGGAATAGGATCATGCTCGTTCGCAGGAGGATGCGCGGCGCCGTGTGCCACCCTACCAGCCTGAAACCGAACTAATAGTTCGTACCAGCCACCCACTGTGCTTTTGGGGGGAGGGAGAAGATACGACGTTGTTTGGTGTGATCTTTATTAGGAGGGGGAGGGGAGAAGAATACTCGAAGCTCGACCACGACTCCCATCAGACTTCACAGGTACCGCCACACCCAGCCTAAAGACGCCCGCCTCGCCCCCGTCACCGGACCCTGACCCGCCGTTTGGGCGGATTTCCGTGTCATCGGGAGGGAGTGTTTTTTCCGGGGGCGGCTGCTGTTCTGGCCTGGGTAGGTCGTAAATGGTCAGCCTCCGGCCCTTGTCGGCGGGAGTCGTTCGTTGTTTCACCTGCGGCGGCACAGCAAGCGCGAACACATACAGGTTTCTTCTTTATTGCTACAAGTCACCGTCTTTACTCCGGAAAGTAGCGTACACTCACTACCCGGTGACGCTCCCTCACAGGGTCCCAGATCGTGGCCTTTAGAAGCATCCTTTGGAAGCCTTTTGTGTTCTCAACCGCACTGAGACTGACATTTTTTCATTTGTCAGCCGGTTAGCGCGGTCGATGCAATTATTAAAAAAAACACACCCACAAGCAACAAATGCGTGGAAAGGAGGCGAGCGCGTAACTCAACTAGCGGCGAAAAGGTGAAGGGTGCAGAGGACAAGCGGACGGCTTGCACGCAAAGGGGGGGGGGGGGGGGGGGGGACCCCCAAAAGGCCAAACCCGGGGGCCCCCCCCCCCCCTCCCAAAAGGGGGAAAAGTTCCCACACAAACCTACCCGGGGGGAAGAAGGGGTCCTAATGGGGGGATTACCCCCCCACCCCCCCCCTAAGGGAAAAAAAAAAGGGAAAAAGCAACAACCCCCCCCTTGGGCGGATTTGCGAGGGGCTAAAAAAAGGCTGAAAAAGGGTCCATTTTCCCCTTAACCCCGGGCGGGAATAAATTGCCCCGAAAAACCTGCCACCCTAAGCCCTGGCCTTTTTCG